TCCTGTTTCTTTTATCGTGTACGACCATTATTTTTTTCGACGCATCTTTTGGTGTCTATGCTGTACTAAGTTTGCTGTGTGTACATACGATATTTGAGGAGATAATTTACTTTACATCAATATTCAGAAGAAAGATTTGACTACAGGATTCATGCAACATTTATGTCATTTTATGTTCTTGAGACAATGACTTTTTAAATTATAGTTAATTCTGATGTTCTCTTCCACATCAAATAATATCAGTCTAGTTTCAATAAATTAAATGTTTGTAGCAGTAAAGAAATCTCCGAAGTTACTACCATACAGTTCAACACTGAGGTCTGATCTTCAGAGGTACCTGACTGAAAACAAACTGTTTTGCGTCTGTGTCATCCTCAACGTTGTGAAGTTATTTTGAACTGCTTGTATATGCATCTCCACTTAGCAGTTAGTTCGTACGTCTGGGATTTTATGCATAAATCCAGAAATATACCACCTCTATTAGGTAGTCAACTTCATCTTCCTTATGATCTCATATTTGTGGTGTTAGAACAAATACACGTAATTATTAGGATGCAAGCATATCTGCTAAGATCTAGTCTTATATATATATATATATATATATATATATATATATATATATATATATATATATAAGGTACAAGAATCAGATTCGAATTAATATAAAATAAACCCACTGTTTTTTCTCAAAAAGCGGTTTGAAATGAATGTAAGTTGGTTGGAGGCAATCGGAAGGAGGCTGTTAAAAGGAGATTTCGTGCTTGTTGGAGATCGTCAGCGATGCGTATCTACAACCTCGAGGGGACTGATTTCCCCTATAAGATCCGGACCTGTACCACTCAGTTTTCCAGTAAACGAGGTAACCAGCGAACCATTCAGGCGGTGATAGACTTCCTGTAAGACTGGATTATATACCTTTCAGGTTGTCTACTGTTGAGTACTGACATAATTCTATCGATCATTTCGCAATGTCGTCACTAAACTAGAAGGTTCAACATTGCCGTACACTTTGGTGGATGTTAATATAAGAGTGAAACTTCGGCACTGTGGTAGAAAGCAACCTTATTTTAGTCTGTTTGTTAGAATTGTAGCACAGTGAAACAGTTTTATTTACTGGATAACGTTTCAGACACAATTTACTATCCATAGTCGTATGATATTTTAATATGGCTGCTTGAATATAGTGACCGAAACTCCTAAGGTCTCGAACGTTATTACAAATCAGACGTATCAGAAGCATAAGAAATCGTTCGTCTAAAAACAGACTCATTAAATTACCACAGCATTAGTTGGCATATTTACAACTTCCACCATCAACAGTTGCCTGCCAGAGATTGGAGCAATAGGCAGTAATTTCTGATTAGTAGTTGACCTAGATAGTGAAAGTAATCCAACCAATAAAGGAAGGTGTATAAGAGAAGAAAATTGACTGATGCAACCTGTTTCAATCAGCGAACAGATCAGATACATCTCATAAAGAATAACAAAATCCCATCACATGGAAAATACTTTGAGATTCTCACTTTGATTCAAATGCAATTTTTTACATTTCTACATAAGATTGTCAACTTACCCACGTTTTAAAGTCAATTGAATGTTTTCATAGAAATCATAACTGTTGGAAAACCCCAGATTTGTGTAAAACATTGTTTACGAATCTAAACATTTTTAAATCGTCTTCGTGTCATTTTTTATGGCATGTCTAGTTGTTCAAATTAGCCCCCATTATCAAGGTAATTCGCTGATTGGTCAGTGGTTACTTTTATTATGTTAATGTTTCAAATTCTAGGCGTCATATGTTTTTGGATTAAATGACTATTCTTAGGGGGAATAAACTGTCATCCAGTCAAATCTTCTCTATTTCGTCCAGAGTTGGAATCAGTGAGTCTTGAGTACGAAGAAAGCTGTCAATCTTTTCGGAATATATAACAATAACTAGCCGATAGAATTTTGAAAATGACATGAAAATGAAAATGGCATTTAAGAAAGAGTCAAAACCAGTAGTGAAATAAGGCATCTGAAGAATTCACAAGTACTAGTGATCAGATTCTTAGCTGTAAACAGCCTAGAAATTTCATAAACATACCTGCTAGAATTTTGATGAATATATACTAAGACTTACCTAGATTTAGATCGCAAATTGGATGTTTTGATTGGTGGAACGATGTACAAGATAGGATTGAATAATACAATCATTAATAATCTGTCTGAATCAGGTAGCTTAATTGTTCAACACAACTCTAACAACAAACTCATTCAGATATTTCCCGTAAACATTGATAGATAAAAAAAAGATAAACTCAACGGCCTTTTGATTCCTATGAAGTTAATATGAAGATCATACATACACAAGCTTACCCAGTGGCTAGTAGAATAACTGGAGTCAATTAGGAATTAATTCTCTAAGGAAATCTTAAAAGAGACATCTGAAGTAGTATTCATTGCGGACTGATATCACTTGGATAATCAATAAAAACCCATGACCACTGAAATGCTATACATCCTCATTTTGCCTGCTGTTTTGCCCATGACCTTAAATTAACATAAATGGCTGTTTACACACTATTACCGTTCTCAAGGCTGAACTCTCATTGGTTGTTAACTATGTGTGGATTTAGTGCTGTCAAGGTCATATATATATATATATATATATATATATATATATATATATATATATATATATATATATATTGCCGATGACTGTATTGATAGTTGTTAAGACAGAAAAAAAGCTCTTTGTCAGCGGTTTATCTTCTCTTCTTGTCTTCACATATCAGTGGTTGGCGTTCTGATTTGTGTTAGAGTCGATTCGTTTGTGCATTACGCTAGTAGTCTACTAACTGATAGGCTTTTAGGTCATACTACGGTCATACATGGACAGCTGTTTCGTCTTAGTATGGAACTCCTCAGGAGTGCGCATACAGTAACCGGCCAGGGATCAAACACAGGACCTTCAGATCTCACAACGAACGTATCAACCATTCAGCCACTGAGTCGGAGTTGACCCCACAGGTCACGGATCCCCATTAGCACTTCGGGATATCCATCTCGAAGTATGTGCTCCAAGGTTTTTAATAGTTTTTCAACATATGACAGTCGAAGATGAATAATATCTTAAAAACACAAACTAACATGACTAAATAAAAAAAGAAAACCTTTTAAAAAAATCGTTGACAAAATGAAAACATATACCACTGTGTAAACAAATCATTTTCTTCCGCTAAGTGTAACAGTATTATAAACAAACAAAATGTCAATAATAATTAAACATAAAATTCATGCAAAAAAAATTCTCCATCACTTCTCTTATCCAAATAACGAAAAAAAAAAAAACAAGGCAGAATTAAAGTGGTGAAAGAAAGCACAGTGAAGCATTTACTTTATAGGGGACCGGGGATAGCAGGATGATCTCATGAACATGGATGTGTACTACAATTCAGTTCATGTAAGCACACACACACACTCAAGCATTGAAGTATTCCATTACAAAAAGCCTACAAATAACCAATAACAGTTATGTAAGCTTTACTCATTAGTTTGCTGAAATATGAAGCGAGAATAGACCGAAAAAAAAACCCAATTGAATAGTCAAACACTGAGAAGACAATAAGTGATGAAATGAAATTCAATAACGAATCATATTTATTATAAGCGATTGAAATAGCAATTCGTTTTTTATAATCAGAAAGCCTAGTCTGGATATTTCTCTCCCACCCTCCCTCCTTCTCTTTGGGAACAGATGAAGAAACCAAAAGGTAGTTTTAAATGTTCCATACATAAAAGATGATAAAATGTATAAAGAGATAGAAAAATGTTTAAATGATACATTATACACTCATATCTTAGATGATATTCATTTTTTTGGAAATCAACTTTGAAATTCATACTAATTCGTTGTTTAAAATAGACAACATGAAAGAGAAATAAACAAAAATGATTCAATGTTACTATTAATTTAAACAAAACAATTGTTCAATGTACACATATGATGAGAATGTAAAGAAAGTTGTACTAATAAAGTAAGAAAAGAGAAAAAAGAAAAGAAAAGGCTGAAGAAATTAAATTTATTAATTTTAATATGCAAAATAATTATACTAGATAATAATAATAATAAATGAAAACTGGTTATTCTCATAAATTAAATTAAATCGTTTGGTTAAGCATTGATGTCATGAATTATACAAGAATTGAAAAGTAGTCAAAGAAAATAATGAAAGTATATTAAAACTTCAAGTTTATGAATAAATTTCATGTAGGTTAAAATAAATATTGAACAGAAGAATAAAAATAAAAGAGAGAAACTTTTGGTTTGAAGAAGAAAAAAAAATCCAGACTAGAGTATTTATTTATAATTATGTTGAATAATTTTTGTTTTTGTAAAAATAAAAGAGCGCCAAAAAACAAATTCACACCCTGATTGTAAAGTGAATAACATTCGATGTAGAATATCATATACACAGATGCGCGAGCACACACACACACACACACAAAGACAGATACATACACCGGTAAAACTGATATATTCAATAGAACAATATCTAGAAGCGATTAAAGCATCCAGACTACAAACAGAAACCAATGTTTTATAATTTTCTTTTTCTAGATATATTAAAAATAAATTTCGATGAAAAACATTAACCAATTGATAGATAATCTGTTAACTATCGCCTAACAGATTTTTTTTTTCTTCCACCTAAATGAACTGTATTAAGTAAGCTGAGAGAAATTCACTTGTGAAACAAGATAGAGAAAGTGCAGAAGAATAGCCTAAAAAGTGTATGATTGTGAAAGTTATTATTGATGAAAGATTTATTGTTTCTGTTCATGTTGCTGCCGGTATAGTCAATGATGTTGCAAAATTTAAAGATTGAAAGTTAGCTATTTTGAGCGGAAGTATAACATTTTATATCTATACAAGACTGATAAATATAAGACTAGTTCCATTTCGTTTAATTGATTTAAGGCTGATTTTTTTTCAGAGGAACTGATGAGTACAAACTTTAATGTGGTTGAGTCTATACAAAAATGAAAGAAAAAAAGAGTAAAATATACACTAATTACTCGAGAAAAAGTGAAATGGTTACAATGAATGTGTGAAAAACAAAGCCACTTAAGAGTATTCTAAAAATAAGATGTTAGCAATTATAATGATCATAAGGCATTATACTATATGCTGACTCACTGAAACTGTTGTATGTGTAGCCAAAGAGAATGAGAACTCCAATATCCTTCATGTGTTTATCTTCGTTAGCCTTCACATTCTGATTAAGCTGTGTATTTCGAGTGACTTTATAAATGACACTCTAGCAACAAGTGAGACAACCATTTAGACTTCTTTATTTTACGAAAACTTACCTTTCTAGCTGAAATGTTAATACATGTCTTGTTTTTATTTATGAAATGAAGAAACCTGATTGGTTATTTTGATCTCTGCTAGGGTGGCCTACAAAATCGAAATGACTACTGATATATAGCCAGTCATCCTTCTCAGACGAGATACCAAAAGCTGATTGGTTATTTCATTAGTTGCTGACCTGGCCTTTAAAGTCTCCTTACATTTCTCATATCATATTTGGGGTTACGTATATCACCTGGAAAAGTGTTTCTCCATAAAATAGAGAAGTCTAATTGGTTATTTCAGTTGTTGTTAATCAATATTTAGCATTGTATGAACTAGTCAAATGGGGTGACTTTAGCGGCCCCCTTGGCAACTGCTACTGTAATAACAAATCAGGTTACCGTATTCCATCTACAAAAGATGGTTTTTCATAAAATATACAAGCTTAATTGATTATCCTAGCAGTTGATAGGGTAACCTTTAAAGTAGAGTGCCAAATGCCCAGTTCTATACAGCTACATCAACAATGAAACTGGATTGACTTGAGAAACTTTGAGTTATCACAAAAGTTGATTATTCTGAGTGAACTACACCTAACCTTGCCGTTGAAAAAGTCAACCAGCCTATCAGAATTTCTACGGATAATTCAACTGTGCTACATTATAACCCACTATCATTATCGGCTAATGTACTGAATTGATTGAAATAGGAGATTAATATTTTCGAAAAATCGATTTAATATGAGGCATATCTACAAATTACAGTAGATAAATAATCATGGATTAATATTGATTAAATTGACTACAGTTTAGTGTCATATCAGCTCCAAAATTATTTTAACAAACTATGGATACCATGTTGTCAGATTTCTTATCGTTTCTAAATCACTTGATGAAAGCACTACAGATATAAATTCTCTATTGAATCGAATTAATGATTATATATTTACATTGTACTTTACAACACGTAGATTTTATCTTAGTCAAATAAAGTATCTTGAATATACAGTGAACAGACAGGGTTACAGATCTAATTTGGAGAAGATCAAAGCAGTAATTACATATATGTTACCTGGAATAAATGTTTCTATTTCGTTGCAAGACTCTATGAACTTCTTGGACCTTCAGATGTACTATTCCGGAAAAATTAGTTGTGGAATTGAAGTTTAGAAATCATTTGATGAACTAAAAAAAGTATTAACTTCCAGTTTGCCTCTCTCTCTCTCTCACCCTATGATCCAAAGTTCGATGTCATAGTCGCAGCCAACGTCTCAGACTACGGAATCAGTACAGTGCGCTTACATTGCTAAACATAATGGTAATCAGAAAGCAATCGCCTATACCTTTTATTGCTTAACACTAGCCAAACGAAACTATGGTTAGGTTGAGAAAGAATTACTAGCGGTAATATTTAGAGACACTAGGTTTCATCGCATGCTTTGTGGCCGTAATTTCACGCTCCAGAGATACTATAAACAGATGCTCAAAACCTGGTCCCCTTGTTGTTAACATAGCTGGACTATCGTGTTGCTGTGATAAGACTTCACCATTCGGCATATTCCTATGGATAAATTCGATGCTTTATCATGATTGGTACCTCATAAGTCATCGCAAAAATCTCAATCAACGCTGACACTCATCACGTTTTGCGTAAATCTATCAGCTCAAATCCTGTTGCAGTCAAAATGATCCGGGAATCAACAAAGTCTGGTAAGTTGCTTCAAAAAGTAATTCGATACATCCAGAAAGGTTGGCTGAGATGTACGATTAAGCACCCACGATTTCTCTCTACGTCGTGAATCTCTATTTGTTGTAGATGGATGTATAATACTTTCATACAGAGTGGTGGTACCTACAGCTTTACAAAAGGGTCGTACCACTTCAGTTACACATGCATCATCGGGGGATAACACGTATGAAGTCGTTAGCATGCAGATATGTGAATTGGTCATTTATCAACAGAAACCGAAAACCTAGTGAAAACCTCTGACAATTGTGCGTATTCCGTTAAAATGCCGCTAAAGAATGAACTATTTTAATGGCGATCCTCAGACAGTCCATAGCCCAGAATCCATATTGACTATGTAGGACCATACAATAATCATACCTCTCTTGTAATTGTTAAAGTCTATTCAAAATGGCCCGAAATATTCACTATGGAAAGAACCACTGCTATGATGAACATACACAAGGTATCGGAATTATTTATCCACTTTAGTATACCAGATACTATCGTTTCTGATAATGGTGCTTAGTCTGCATACGAGTAATCTGCAGATTTTTGCAAAGCCAATAGATTAAATCATATTCGTTTACCGCCATCTCATTCTCAATCTAATGGTCAAGTTAGACGTTATGTAGACAAATTCAAAAGAGCTTTGTCAAAATTGCAGGGTGAAGGGGATGTAAAGCGACAATGAACGAGTATATCTAGATTTTTTTTTCTGTTTAAGTGATAACCTTATGAGGTCATTGAAATGTTATCCCCAGTTGTTGGATTATAATAATTCTAATAATGTTTAACAATAATTCTGCAGTTCATTCATATAATTAGTATGATACTGAGATCAAATATGCGTAATATCATTGGTCTATGCATAACAAAATGTAGAAATTTATCATATACTTAACTTAGATTTGGAAGGTTTTATTAGGATAGAGTAGACTTTTAAACACTAAAGTCTTTTACACTTACGTTTAACCTCAGATTAACATTCGAAATCTATGTCTTTGCAGTAGGCAGTGAGTAACATCTACTATATGAGATCGAATGGTACTCTATATAGCTGCTCAAATTCAGACAGTTGGAGCGAGGTTCAAACCTGTGGTCTACTGTTTAGAACTCATGTACCTAGAACGATGAGGCACAAAGACACAAACATTTTATCATACTGATATATTCTACAGTGCAGTAGTATTTGATTGGACTATGAATAACTTTAGTAGGTGTATCATAAATAAGGTGATAGGTTAATGTTTTGAATTTTTTGATAATTAACGCTCAAGTTTGAGTCTACAGTACAGATAATTTTTCATCTTTTAACGTCAACTTACGTAATGTCACACGAAAATGTCATACACATCAGCATCAACTCTAAACTGACTGTATGAGATTTGTATAACCTGTGGATTTAGATTATTGTCGAAGGCTGAAGAGCTTAGAGGAATTGAAGATGATATAGTTTCGTTAACTGACAGACGTAAAAGGAAGATTAGAAGGTAATGATGACGAAGGTGGATAAAAGTCTAGAGAAACTTGAGTGCTGACAGAGTTGTGAGGGCGGTTGACACTTCCCCGCTGCCCACAACGTGGAGGGCTATTTCTTCTTAAGGTACCTGAAACAGAATCATGTGACCGCAGAGCTCGTCAGACATCTGCTTGAGGCTTGTCACCTGGTAATGTCTCTCACTGAAAGGTGTGCCAAGTATATCACCTTATTGAAAGCTCTCTACTAGAACACCTGTGGGTGTGTTTGAGCCTACGGTGAGATGTCCGGGGATCTGTACTCGTCGAGTGGTGTCCGTCAAGGGTTTTCACTCTCCCCACTCTTATTCAATTTTATCATAGATACTCTTATGGAGGTCTCCCTCTCGTCACCTGGTTACACAGACGTTGACCTAATCGCAGGAGAATTTTCGTTAGATCTAGAATACGCAGATGACATAGTCAGTCCTGTTAAGTGAAGACGCTGACAAGATGCAGAGTCTTCTGAACACTTTGATTGGCAATTTGAGAATGTTTAGGATGCCTTTTCTCATCACCCAAATGCAAACAGCTGCTCCAGGATTGGTCTTCAACGGTGCCGAGGCTAACAAAAGAGGGTACAGTGATTGAGTGTGTTGAGCACTTCGCTTACCTGGAAAGTGGGATCAGCCCTGGTGGCTCAGTGGTCGATGAAATCTCTGCACCAATACAAAAGGCTCGGCTGGCTTTCGCCTACTTACACCACCTATGGCGCCGCCGTGATATCCAATTGTCTACTAGGGATCGCGTGTACTGCACACCAGTCCAGTCTGTTCTACAGTATGACTGTGAAATATGGTCATTAAAAGTAGAAGATATGAGAAGGCTTCAAGTGTTTGACCACAACAGTTGCCTTCGTAGTATAGGCCGTATTCCATGGTGTCACCACATGAGTAAAGCAGGAGTCAGATGTAGAGTCTTAGAGAGAAGAGGTAAATCAGTTGACACGGTTGTGAACCTTCATCGACTGAGATGGTTGGGGCAGGTGATATGTATGTCTAGTTGCCGTCTGCCTCATCACACAGTGTTGACTGAAGTAGGTTCAGGCTGGAAAAAAGCTCGAGGTGGCCAGATTAAAACATAACATGAATGTTTGAAGTGTTTGACTGTTGTTTGAGCCATGTGGGGGAATGTAGACTAGGTGGTTGGGATCGGTGGGACAAGAGTAACCAGTGGTTGGAGATTGACTCTAGGTGATCACATGGCTGAGAATCGAAGTCAGTGGCGCAGGTGTATACACATATCATCTTAACGATGATATACCGAATCTCACCATTTTCTCATTCTTCCTTTCTCTCTTTGCGTACTTTATATTTCTTTTGACTGAATTTTCTTATCTTCATCTTCTACTTTACTGCCTTTTCACTTAGTGTACTGATATGAGGTGTGGCAACTCGGACTGTTACGCAGTAATGCCTGGTCCTATGTTGATTT